TAATCTTCACAGAGCAGATTGCTACACCTTTATTCAGTGTTAGTGATGTTTGGGTTCAAAGCAGCGATCTTAAGGGAATAGTTGAGGACTAACGGTTTGCACCACCTAGGAACCCTAAGATTTTAATCCCTGAGAGTATTGCTTTTTCTTTTTGTTGGTGCTGTCCAGTTAATTCTGACTCATACCAGTTCTGTCTACAACACAACAAAGCACTGCCCTTTTTAAGGGCCTATAAATCCAGTTGATGAAAAAGATTTCCCCACTCCTTCATATTATCCTAAACTTAATTTATTTTTCTCTTTACTTTGTAGCGTGGGATGGCAAAGTCCATGTAGATAAAATTAAATATATAAATAAGGTCAGTTTGAACTACAAGGTTGGCAGTTAAAACTTACTAGCTGCTCCTCGGAAACTCTGTATAGGCTCAGTATGGGTCGGAACCGACTCGACGACACTCAACAACATATCTGTGTGTGTCCAAATACTGAGTGACTAGACACACACATACCATTGTATGTTTGAATTGGGATTTCTGTGGAAATAGAAACCATCTCATTAGAAAACCTAATTTTAAATCAAGTCTCTATAGAAAATCCTAATTCACAGAGCTTTGTGAGCTTCTAGAAAATGCTCAACCTGATTCTTATTTTATCCCTAACATTCCGACTCATAGCAGGCCTGTAGGACAGAGGGGGCGCTGCCCCTGAGGGTTTCTGAGGCTGTCCATCTTTCTCCTGCAGAGCTGCTGCTCTTTTCAAACTGCCAACCTTGCAGTTACCAGCCCAGTTAGTACCCACTAAGCCACCAGAGCTTCTTATGAGGTATTGTCAACTTTGATGTAGTCAGTTTCACAGTCAAAATAAATCTCTTCTAAACTTCATCTGTGTGTGGTTTAGGCCTTCTCTTAGTTCTAATCTTCTTTATGAGCTACCTTAAGCTTTCTTAAATTTGTGTATTCTAGGTTCTCACTGAAAATCTCTTTTTAATTCAAGGAATAAAGCTATTTTACTATAAAAAAGAGTGTAGATGTCAAACAGACTGACTAATAAAGGTCAACTAACCTGTGGTTGGCAGTGCCAAGAAAGTTTAAAAAACACCCAATTTTGTGAGTACTCACAGTTCACAGTAAACTATACTCTTAACACATTGCTGTTTTGAATCTTCTGTGCCCAGATGGTTGAAAGGCTATGAAGAGAAGGGTTTAAGAAGGATTGCAGTGGCCTTGGATAAGCAACAGATTGTTGATACATATGATTATGGTCATTGTGGCTTTAATCTAAATGATATACTGTTCCTGGGCCTGCAAGTTATGAGATAACTGTTTCAATTCTTCACAGTGTGCTCTTCTAAACAAATACCAAAGTCAAATGTGCTGTTTTCTCATTCAGTCCTGACAACCAGGATCCATGTTTTTATGCTATTTTGCACTGCTTGTTTTCAACTCAAGTAGGCCTTTGTACAGAAGAAAAATTAAATTTATTTTGTATTGTTGTGCTAGATAGAACTAAAATCAGTGGGAGAAAAATGAACAGATGTTGAGTGACTAGACCAGTCTGCATGCTCAGCAAACTGAGAAGTCAACTTCCATTAATAGCAAACCTACGGTTGTTGAGTCTATTATGACTCACAGAAACCCTGTAAGACAGAGTAGAGGTACCAGCGAACCAGCCACAGCAGAGAAGACTTTAAGAACTGTTTAATCCTTGGGGAACTGGATAAACCCCAGAGACATTCTGCTGTTTTGCTTGTCG